GCAGGAATGAGCACGGTTGATCATAGACAATGGGTTAACCAACAGCTGATTTAAGATCTCTCTTCATGTGCATTAATAATGATAATACAAATGTGTGTAGATGATGTACAGTACACGTATATTGTAATACATGTAAGTGCAGCTATTGATAACTAGGAATTTGGGTTGCCTGGTCCAAATACATGTAAATGCAGGATTGACTCTACTTCCCTGACCACAGCCGGTACTAGTACATGTACGCTATGCATCTGATCAGCATGGGACAAACGACGGAATGTTTAGGTAATGATAGTTCATCATAGGTACGGGGTATTCTGTGGTCTCACTGCCATCATTTGGGCATTTGTCTGCATGCATGGTACAGGTAGAAGTGTGCACCTCAGCATAAATTTACTAGCAATGCACATCTGAAGTAACTGTGACCAGACCTAAAAGAGTAATGCCGGTCAGCTGGGAGAATGCAGGGTCTAAGCTTTTCAACACACCTACAGTAAATGTACATGTACAGGTAAATATGTAAATGTAAATACAATGATGGTCACAAAGGTAAACACATCCGTGAAAGGGGCTATTCAAAATTTTCCACATTTTAAATTTCAAGTTTTTGTCAAAATAGTGGGTGGATGGGTCAACGTAAATACATGTAATTCCAAAATCGAAATTCACTTTCAATTAAAAAAAGAAAAATAAATTGATCTTTTGACTTGAACGAACTACACGCTACACCAGCATTCTAAGTGCAGTCTTTTTCAACTTCACACCAATTTACATGTTAGAATGACCCAGTGTACATGCACATCACATACGTGTGAAACTCCAATGGGTGAAGGTTGTTTTCAGCAGACTTCGAAGCCAGGCATTCATAGCCGTTATAGGCCTTAGAAAAGCAGCAGGGTACAAGGTGTGTTTTATCAGCTTTCATATCCTGTAAATTACCAGTTGCTTTACTACAGGGCTGTTCAATCACTTGAATCCAGAACTTCAAGGACTGCAGCATGATGGCCTGGTACTAGCGCTACAAGATACAGATTCCAGTTAACCACTTTGTGCCGGAATTCTAAGTACCAGGTTTATACGCATAACCAGGGGTGTCCGAAATTGGAAAAAGGAACTGGGCCTTGTAACAAAAGACCGTATTCAGAACAAAAGACCGAGCTGCTGGGAATTGCCAACATTTTTTCAGTTGTCAATAGCAAAGGTAATCCATCATTATTTTGAAACAGTGTACCACCATTTCTGGCATTCAGGGAAAGCAGATTATCACCAGGGACAAACGTGCTCCAGCAATACCGCTGCACGCTAACCTGGCCGCATTTGAAAAGACGCCAGCAGCATACTTGGCCAAATTCGGAAACAAAAGAAAACAACGCACGATGTGGGTTCTCTTGACAAGGCAGCAAGCCTGGCTGAAATACTCTGGGGTCAATAGATGTTGCCTGTCTGATTAGAGTAACCACCAGACAGTCATTTGTGAGGGCCTTAACGTCCAGTAAATAAATTTTTGAAGAATTTTGAAAACCAAAAATCTTGAAAATCCCTTAGGAACTCGTCATACGAATTCTAATTAAACCCGGCAGCATATGGTTATAGCACACTGCATACCTAGGTGCCGAGTCTATTGCCAATTCAACTGCGTATAACCAATGCACACATGCACCTGCACCATCAAGCATAATCTGACCATGCCATTTAAAACTGTATGAATGGTTTCCATACATATTTATGTAGATGAGGGCATTGTAATGGGGAATTTGTATGTGTGGTCGCAGCACAGCCTTCAACATGGCCGAAGGGTGAGTCAAAAAATCAGGGTTTCTTTATCAAAAAGGGGAGGGGGGTAAGTGGGCAAAAACAAATTGGGAAAAAAATCTACATTTTAAAACACTGAAAATTTTGAATATCCCCTAAGTGGCAAACTACAATCCACACAAAAGGCAATTCATGTAAGGCTACTTACGATGAAGTTATGCTCCTTTCTTTCTGTGCAAAACCTGTCAGAAACTTTAACAATGGTTTGGTGGCATCATCCCCATACTTGGAGATGAGTGCCCTGATGACATCTTGCACAGCCTTTCGTGACTTGGAATCCTTGTAACATTCCAGCGTGAGAGGAAGTAACTTGATCAACAATTTGCAAGCACTAGCAGGAAACTCTGCAACATGAAACATGTCAATGCTCATGAACAACAAACATCACAAGTCAAAAACAATCAAATAGAATATTTTTGAGATTGAAAAAAGGAGAATATAAAAAACTACATAAAAACACTTTGACATTTCTTCATACCAAAGTTTCTTAAGAAGTACTGTGTATTGGTAGGTTTACAGTCCTTGTGCCTAAAGTGCACAGTGTGTTTGGATTGTTGTTGCAAGGAGAATGAGAGAATGATGAGTAAAATGCTCTGATTTGTTTCCAAAAAGTAGTCAGTAACATGTTCTTAGAACCCTACAATGTAGGTCAAAAGTTTCAAAGAGAGATATGGACTAGTTCGGACAGCTTTTTCAGAAAGATGTGATTGAGAAAGTGGAATTTTCAACCACACCAAATGTATCCTGATGAGTATTAATCTGATCAACTGAACTGCATTCAAACACCCAAGGCACTATGAACTCAGAAAAAGTACATATACATGTACACTAGTTGGGCTGTAAGGCACACAGGGTTGTTGTTCTGGAAGTAACAGTTAGATGCCACCATTGGACTAACTAATTTGAATGAAAGGAATTTGAATTATTTAAAATAAATGAAATTGTTCACTACAGTTCAACAGGTGCCAGCATTTGGCAAGAGTTCCAAATTAACTTCCCATGAACACAAGATGGTTAGCTCTAAGTCTAGTCCGGGAAAACTTGGATTGGGTGTCTAAAAAAGTGACTTTGAGGCCAACTGTTGGATACGTACTTAGTGCGGATGATACTTCATACAGGCAGCCATCTTTACATATGTATTCAGTATGATGTGCATGATAGTGTGACGGCCAAGACAAAAAAACAAGGTGTACCGTGATGAAGTATCATAGCCTCGTTGGTTTCAATCTGAAATGGAGCATACGTTTCTAGAGGCACTTTTAGGATTACAGTGAGGCACAGTGCATCAAGTTACATGTATGTAATGCATAAGTACGGACAGTTCAGGGTAATAGTACCACATGATAATACCAGAAGGCAAGTGCTTGCCCGTCATATACAAGTACATATACATCGTAGTAGCTTTGGAGAAATCGTTCATATACAACTTTCTGTCACCGCTGTTTCCGTCTGTGTTAAACGGGGAACACGGTTGTGCGCATGCAGTTTTTTGACGAGTACAGGCAAGTTGCATAATTCATGAATCTTGACCCATTTTGTAAACACTGCCTAAAAGTCATGATGATACTG